TAATTTATACTGCGGAAGAGTATAAGCCGAGAAGGAGAATCATCCAATGCTACAATTGTTACAGGTTTGGCCATGTTGCTAAACTTTGTACCCAAAACCATGCAACATGTAGCAAATGTGGAGACAATCACCACTCATATCAATGCAAGAGTAACCGAAGAGACTACTGTATTAATTGTGATGTCTTTGGCCATGTAGCTACAAACAGAGATTGTCCAACATACCAAAATATTGTCATGAAACTCAACATGCAACCAAACAAATGTTCAAAATCACCCACACAACCCAACAGTAGATTATGATCTTTGGCCAAATAAATATAGCAAAGATGTCAACTAACTCTGAGATGACACTTGACAAGTTTATCTACGAAAATGAGATACTCTTGATGGCGGTTCAAGAAACAAGCTCTTGGACTCAATCAGACGGAAGTTTCCTTCATAAAAAGGTATTTCATAAAGCTGGGGACATAAATAAAGGGACAGCTGGGGTAGCACTCGTCATTGATCCTTCACTACATCCAGAGTTGGTCTATGACCTTAACGTAGACGAAGTTGATGCGGTTTGGTGCCAAATAAAAGTTGAAGGAAAGAGATATTTGGTGGGATCAGTTTATTGCAAACCTTGCAATAACTCTAATGATTCCATAAGAAAATTTGAAGGACTTCTTGCCCACATTGATAAAGCAAGAGAATATAAGGCTAAATATAAATTCAACTCTCTTCTCACATATGGAGACTTTAATGCAAGACATCATGACTGGGGAGATCATGTTACCACGCAGCGAGGAAAGAAGCTTCTAGACTACGTTGAAAAGGAAACCCTAACTCTCTGCTCACCATACGACTGCACATTTGTCTGTACAAATGGAGGAAGTGTTATTGACTTAGTGTTAGCCGAAGGCCCCATCATCTCAAAGTTGGGAAATCAGTGGATGGATAAAGATGTTGAATTATTTTCAGGTGCCCCAAGAAGAGGTCACTATCCGGTGCTTCAAGAAATCTGCAGAGGGATCCCAAAATCAGACACTGTCCCCAGAGTGTGTATGGACTGGAAAAATGCAGACTGGAAAATATGGACAAATGCAATGGAGACCAACTGTCAACATCTTCGTTCGGCCCCAGAGTTATTAAACCGAGGGGATCAGCTATGGCAGCAGTTATTACATAAAATACAGGAGGCTAACCGAATGTTCATCCCTCAGAAGACAGTATCCATTCATTCAAAACCATATTGGTGTCCTGCACTTACAACTCTATCTAATGAAGCTCTAGAAGCGAAAGAAAGATTTAAGCAAAGATCAACTCCCAGAAACAAGGCCACACTCACTGAAAGCACTGAATCATTCAAGAAAGCGCTGATTAAAGAAAAGAATGAATGGATTCGTGACAGAGTTGAAACACTTAACACCAAAGACTGCACTCAATTCTGGAGAAAATATAAACGAGTTTTTGGGGCCAAAACTGACAATTTTATCTGCAACCTCAAAGACTGTGACTTGCTGGTCACATCTGAAAAAGATAAGGAGGAATTGTTATTTAATACTTTCTTCACAGGAAAACACCTTCAAAACCAACCCAATGACCGAGAGCACGACATGCATGTAAATAACGAGTTCAGTAAATTACAGAATGTTAGCAGCAAATCTGCAAGTAGTTACAATGAAGATGATCCGCTGAACAACCCTATTTCTATGGACGAGATAAAAGCAGCTATAGAAAGGCAAGAAACAAATGACAAATCATGTGATGCAGACAATATTCACCCTACCATCCTCAAACATATGAAAACAAATTGTCTTCACGTCTTGCAGATTATATTTAACTGGTGTATGAGCACAGGAAAATGGCTGTGGAAAACTTCAGATGTAACATTCCTAAGGAAAGAAGGAAAATCCAGCTACATGTTACCTGGTGCTTATAGACCGATTTCCATATCATCCTACTTTGGAAAGATTTGTGAAAGAGTGCTAGATAAAAGATTGAGACTCTTCCTGGACATTGAAGGAACTCTTGATGAAGATCAAGAAGGTTTCATTGGAGGGAGATCAACAACGCGATATCTTTTCAGAATGCTGGCTAACCTTGAGGAAGTTAAAAGACAGAAGCTGGCATGTATAGTGCTTTTCCTGGACTTCGAAAAGGCATTTGATAGTGTTCATCTCCCATCACTATGTGTCAAACTATCAACTCTCGGTATTCAAGGAAATATTCTTAACGTGCTGAGAAATTTCCTGTTCAACCGGACGATATGTCTAAAAGTGAACAACTATAAAGGAGAAAAAAGAAAATGTACAATATTTGGATTACCTCAGGGGGCTGTACTATCACCTCTCCTCTTCATCCTATACATAGCAGACATGACACACAACACCCCGGAAGAAGTAAAAAGATATCTAAGCTGCTACAAATTTGCTGATGACGGTACACTTATGATTTCCTTCGAGAACATCTCCGGATGCCATGAAAAAATGCAGATGGTTTGTGACCACCTCAGCAAGTGGTGCATCAAGAACAAGCTAGTAGTGAACTGTGATACGAATAAAACGGAGGCCATAATCTTGAAAACTGCAGCTTATACTGAAGAACAGAAACCTGCAGAATTATGTATTAATGGGAAAAGCATCAACTACGTCCAAAGCACAAAGGTCCTTGGGGTAATAGTAGATGAAGACCTCAATTTCAAGAAACATGCGTCTCAAAAACTTAAAGAATGCAAAAGAAAGTGGGGATTAATAACAAAATCAACTAACCGCAACTACGGTCTAAACGTTTACAGCCTCACTCTCCTCCTTAAAACAATGGTCCTCACTAAACTGTTCTACGCAGCACCTATTTGGCTTCACAAGTGTCTCAATCAATTTAAAAGCTTCTGGAATAAAATCATTCTAAAAATATCTGGATCAGTCCTGAATCCACAAAGGGAATTAACCGAACTTGCTCTCCACCTCCCACCACTGGATGTGCAACTCGAAGCTCTTTCGGTTAAATTCATGTGCAAAGTACTCACACAAGGTGACAATCTCTCAGCTACACTCTACCAAGTTGACGAAAGCAGAATACCAAGCTTTCATGTCTTAACAATGTCACTGAAAAAGTACTTCCTTTGGAAAGAAAATAAGTCACACGGAACCAGAATGATAGACCTAACGCAGCAACATTTCAAGGATCTGGCCTATTACACTCAGGCAGACATAATGAGCTACAAAAATAAGATCTGGATTGACAGCATCGAAACAAATCTGCAATGCAGAACTGTCAGTAACAACAAGGAGACCAAGATACTTGGTGTGATCACAAAGATCAAAAACAGTGGGCTGCTCCTAGACAAAAACAACTTCTTATTCGGGCACAACACGAGTAAAAATCTGGACAGCCGAATAATGGACTACATTCACGGCAGCTCACCACTCTTTGCGAATATCCAAAAGATCATGGGTGGTGACAGTGGTGAGGCCTGTCGTTTCTGCAACAGCTTCGATGATTCTCCTGTACACCAGCTCCTATTGTGTCTGGAGGTGCAAGACACCAGTTACCTGCAGCTAAAAGAAGAGCTGGGTGGGGCTGACTCACATTCCTATCTAGATGAAGTGTTAACAAAAAGCAGCACACAAAAAGCATTCATTAGAAGAGTCGAATTTCTTTGGGGACAAAATGATGCTCTCCAGGATTTATCCAACTAAACTAGAAAGATCATAAAATAAAGACTCTGCAAACATCTCAGAGAAATAACACCACCGTAAAGATTAAAGAGGGAGGATCCTGGACCCCGAAATCCACCACTTTTCTGTACTTTCAGAGGTACCAATGTGGCAGGAAACCAGGGCTCATGCTGCCGCTGAGCTAAAGCAGTAGAGGGGATGGCGGCTTCTCTAGGATCTAACACGTCCTGAAGCAGACCAACACTATGTCCCAACGCACTGGTGTTGGGATGTCTGCCCCCGGTGCCTGTCCGGGTCAATAAAGCAGTCAAGCATCATGTATGTTATGTTGAGCATTCTCAACCAACAAATGTGGGAACTCCCACAAAACACCAAAACAGATCTAAAGAGACACTTAACAACATTGGAAAAATAGACTGCAATTTGTTTATATAATTTAAAAAGCGTATATTATTGCCCACGTTAAGGGGCCTGTTAATAATTTATTAAATTATTAGCTATTTTAGATTTAATAATAATAATAATACTCGGGTATTATTTGGTGATATTTCAGTGCAGTAGTTTTAGTTAGTTATAGTTAGTTTATAATAGTGAGAATATGGTACATGGTCTAGGGAGGTTAGTGAAAGAGGTTAGATGAGTGAATTATACAATTGATCTGCTTGTTAGGTGCATCTGCCTTATTTAGTCACGTTATATTTTACAGTTTTTATCGCCTGTTTTCTGAACAGTTTCTTGTTCCACCTCCGTCTAAGGCAAAGATGCACACTCTCATTAATTTAAGTATCATTTACAGCTGTGCATAAGGGTTAAATTTAAATTATTTAACCTTTTGGTGGTGTATAAAAATAACATTAATTTATTATTATTATTATTATTTATTATCACCAATTATTTCAGTTTAATTTATTATGATTCCGTGTTTTATTTTGTAATAACATCCCCATTTTTAGGTATAAATAGGTTAGGTAACACTTTACGTTTAAAATGTATAATGCATGTAGTAATTATAATCGAAGATATTCAATTTCATATTAAATTATTATTGCATATTGATGTTCATAATTTTTTAGTGTGTATCGGGGCAAAATTTTTTTAGCTGTATGCATATTAAAATTATTTATTGGAATTTAAGTTTTTAATTTTGCTATTGATTTTAGGATGAAGTCCTCACTTCGCGTGCCGCGCGCGTTATTGGCATGCTTGCTTCGCTTTGATGTTTGAATATTGAAATTAAATTGTTTTCATGATAGCTGAGCTTTACGATCAGCTGGAACTAATAAGTAATTGGCATCGTCATTCGTTATATTGATTAATAATTCAATCATCATTATATAAACAAATTATTTTAAAATTTTCATCATCAATAACATCATCATTCACATAGCCATGTGTCTACGCGTACTCAGTACTGCGTGACGCGCTTGTGTTGGCGGTCGCGCGCTACTGCAAGCAAAAGTGCTTTGGTTATAAATGTAAAGCAAACATCATCATATGACACATATTTGCACAATTTATTTCTTTTATTTGTAACCGGTAAGGCTAGTGTTACGAAATATCACGAAATAGCGTGTACCGGGTTAGTTTTATTGTTGACGGATGTTACTCGACTAAATTTCTTCGAAGTAGCGCGCGCCGCTTTCTTCTCGATGGCAAGTGCTACGAAGTAGCACGCGCCGGGCCAGATCATTAACAATGGTCAAGTTTTATTGACAAAGGACAAATTTCATCGCAGTGCCTTAAATTAAAAGTAATTTTAATTGATTCCCCGCTTAATTTTGGACGCTGAACGCTAAGCGCTTAGTCTAGTGCATGGAATTAATCAAATTATAACCATATTTCATACGTATCAAATTAAATGTGCTTTTGCTTTGACGTAAAAATATAATTTGCGCCAACAGCCAACTTTTAAATGTTAAAAGTATAGCTAAAAACTACATGTTTTCAATGAATTTATGTTAGGTGCATGAATTGTATTTCCACCAAAAGCACACTTCTTAATAAAAATTGCGCTTCCTAATATAAATTGCGCGCAATGCAGTAATATAAGTAACTTGTTTCAAACTTCTTGAATCGAGATTAAATATTAAATTTAATTTCTTTTGAAATTTATTCAAAATCAAAAATATGCACTTATAAGTGATAAGGAATAAATAAGCAGCTTTTGTCGATGTGCCTCGAAAATGATCTTATAAACGATTCCCCCTTCAATTTGGGTCTGTACACACGTCACCACACGTACAGTAAGTTATAAACATATTTCATAAATATTAACAATTAAACTGAATTAACTGAATGTGCTTTCGGTGGAGATTTAGCGCGCGCTTTTATCATTTATGCTATTTACATATTTGGATAACTTTAGGTATGCACCAAATTTATCAAAATCGGAATCAGTAAATTTTGCACCAACTCATGTAACAATTTGTCATACGTTGTATGACCCGCCGCGCACGAGTACGCGGCTCCCCTGTATCGTAGAAACTCTACGATAGTGAAGCGACAGTGCACTGCAGTGGGGGGTCACCACTTGTAGCGCGATGCGTTACTGTGCCGCACCGCGCACTCAATGAGGCTTCTCACAGCGATCGGCGAGATGCGCTACTGTACCGCGCCGAACTGCCATGAATTGACATCGTCAATTAAGGTGACCACGTTATACAAGTAACAATGGCGTTTATTACCAACTACACGGACTATTACGTATACTAAAAATTCTATCATCTATTCTGCCAAAATTTAAAGGCCCCATTTAAAAATTAATTTGAAGCGGATTTGGCGGCCAAATTTTGAAAAATGCCCGGCAAATTTCAGAATTTGGCCGACAAATTTTTTTAAAGGCCTAACTTAAAATTACATATTAAAACTTAAGGTCGAGATTCGATTCTACGTTGATTCTGAAAATTTCATGTAAAAATATTGAAACCCTATTGAGTTCTATTGTTTCGAACGAAATCAGTTTTGCAAATATCGCAAACTGACATATGGTGTATGGGCGATTTTGTTAATTTTTTTGCGATTACAGATTATTTGAACATAGAATCCACAGTTCGGTAGATACTGAGCTGATAATCATAGAGAATGTGTAGTATAGGCTTACCTTCCATATAAAGTTGGTTTCATTCAAAAATATTGATATTTGACTAATTTATGGACCAAAATCGATCAAATTTGGTGCGTATGCCCAAATATGGTCATATGGTTTTTGGCTCATAACTCAGTCATTTTCTGTCCAATCTTTATGAAAATTCATATACGAGTTCAGGGGACCACTACTACTAGTACAGAAGTAGAGTCCAGGACCACCTCAAAAGTGTGGTCACCGGTCCTAGTTTGTTGGTCAACTGCTATCTCGAAACCAAGTTTCACAAAAAAATCAGGATGAACCCCCCTTAATATATCATACTGTTGTGTTCAACGGTTTATTTGGTTATCAAACCTGTTATAGCAGGAAGCAAGACTTTTGATCGTTCTATCATGAGCGTGAAGTATTGGTCAGTTCAAGTAAGGTTACTCATGTGAATGCCTGATGTTTTACCCAGCTTTTACCCAACTCAACTGAACTAGCGTTTTGGTGTGTGCAAAAGCTTTCAGGCACGCACATTCCCTGCCACGTTAGTTACCTGTCCCTTCAAAATCAAACTAACAGTCAAGGACAAAAAATCATACACCAAATGAGCATTTTATTTTTATAAATTGTTTTACATCTCTTTATTCTGTAAAATGTGCTAAAAATTAAATTTCTTGTTTCATTGAAATTTCTTGTTTCATTGTAATGCTGGTATTGCTGGTCTATGTAATGGAAGCTGGTCTATGGGTTGCTTCTCTCAAATAATGTCCTATTAAGCCACTGATTCACTCAATTCTCAACACTTCCAAGGCGAGTACTCTCGATCCACTTAGTTCACATGCCTTGGAAATTTAAATCACAGTATTTACAATGGTCTTAGTTCCTAATACTCGCCAAAGATGGTACCTCTCTAGTTAATTGTAGGAGATTAAGAAGAGAAAGCTTAACAACAATTTACGTGGCTGCATTTTGTTTTGATTTTAGTAGGTCCTATTATTTATCCCTATTGTCTTAAGAGAACTCTCCTTAAATTATTTTGATGCAGTCACACAGATAATAGAATTATTATTATTATTATTTCTCATGTTCTACTAACACTCATTCGAGGAATACATCAAATCAAATAACCAATAGAATCAACCTGACTTTGTAAACTCATCCTGCAACTCAATCAAAATAAGGCTATACCGATCTCTACTGGATGCCTAAAGCAGGTTCGGTAAGCACAAGGATCATTTTGACTGTTTCGGGCTGTCCTAACATGAATAATGAATTAAAGCTCGAAGAACGATATTAACATGTACAAGCTATGCAACTGTTCTTGTACTGCACGAAACGTATTATATGGTAAAAGCGTGCTGCAGCTCCTCACTACTGCAACATTTTGGCGGGTAGCGTGCACGTACGATTACTCTCAATCAAATCTGAACCCTCAAGTTCTCTTTGAGGCAGTGACTGTGATTACTAAAATTATCCATCCATTATCCATCCATAATAGTGATTTACAATCTGACAGCTAAAGCTTGTGTCTCAGTGTCCACTCAAGCGGTATTTGGTAACTAAACTGTGGTGTCTTGCATCTACTAGATCGGACTCCTCTGATATTATTTGATACATGTATGAGCGTGGCTGAAATGGAAACAATATGACTTGAGAGGCATGACTGGTTACAGATACTGGGGATGGGGATCACATGAACCTCTCAATACTGGGTTTTTTTCTACACCGTACTCTTTTCCTTTTCTCCTAGATCACTGGTATATAGAGAAAAGACAATTTTTTTTGAGAAAAGACAAAAGACATAGCGGTTTGACTGTACCAAGTGTTCCCACTTGGATCTGTTTGGGATCTGGCTCAGTGGCGTAACGCAGGACCCCGCTGTGCAGGGGGTGGGGGGAGTGGGGCCATCTTAAGGAGGCCCCAAATTGTCCTTTGAATGTGGGACAATCTAATTTGTCCAATTTTAGGGAGGGGCGCCAAAAGGGGGAGGGGCACCAACATGAACAGTGGGGCGCTTTTTCAGCGGGTCGGCGCCAAAAGGCAATGTTATGCCACTGACTGGGAGGTTACAAATTTGGAGAAAGAAACCACTGTGGGATAATAAAGGTTGACAAGCTCGAACAAGTATTGTCGCTTGCACCTCACATAACAATAGCACCTAGAGGATGGATCAGTTCATTCTCCGGTCACATCATTACACACACACACACAAGTTTACTAATACCTAACTGATTTATTACAAGTCTTAATCTGATGTATAGGATGAGGGAAAAACAATTTTCTAAGGACTGCTACTCTCTCTCAGAGGATCTGCTACTTTCTTTTGGTGTCAGTTTCAGAAGTACCACAAACAGTCATCAAAACACGGTTTTTAAAAATGCCTATTTGGCAAAATGAAGCTTTAGCACAATTTGGAAAAGAACACATATTATTTAAAAGGCAGCAAACATTTACATCAGTGTAACATTTCTACACTGTCTCTGAATGTCATGTTGCTAAGGAAAATAATAATTTATCTCGTATGAATGAAATCACATGCATTACCTCATTTTTCCATTTCAAAATGAAAAGCCTCATATCTTCAATTCTAGAAAAATATATTATAGCATTAGTTATTGCATTGAGTGCAAAGAAATGTGTAGAAAAGAATTGCTCCAATATGTGATTTGATGATACAGTTTTAAAACAAAAGTTACAAAAGAGAGATAGAGAATGTTGACTCAGGACAACACACAGTGGAAAGTAGAAAATAGCATACGCTAAAGTAAGTAGTATTACTGTTACTGTAGCTCTTCTCTTCCGTATATGACTCTGTATGTCCGAATGATCGGAAACTTGCCTCTGCAATATGATAACAGAGATAAAGCAACTTGTAACTATAGGCAGAGCTGGTAATATGAACTGCAAAACCACAGTAACAAAATACACAGTCTTGAAGCTTGCAGATGTGACATCAAACACGTTGGCAAGTTGCCAAACACACATAATGCTTGTCTCATTGTAGTAATACCCTTTATTGTACAAGAACGGTAGAAAGCTTTGTGCGATTAATAGAACGAGGTACCAGACTAACAGGTTGACAATAACTCCCTTATTGATAGGGTGTAGCGGTCTCGTGTGGGACAGGGTTCGGGAGATACTGATGATACCAATTATGTAAACCGACATTCTAATAGATATTGACCATGCTATTCCCCAGAGAGTACAATATATCTCACTCCCAAACCAGCCTTGAGGATTTGTATCATGTTTGAGACTTGATACCCCCACTGCCATCAC